ACTGCGCAATCGAAGTGTTCGTCTTGCCCATGGAAGACACAAGGCGCGGGACAAGGGCAATGTCCTTGGCCACGCGCTGAGCAAGTTCCAGAAGTCGCCGGCCAGCGGAGGGCAACACTGCACCAAGCTCGTACTCCGCAAAGGGCTCAATGAGGCTAAGGGCTTCGCGGTCAGTCTCGTCGCGCCAGTGCGATTCGAGCCAACCCTTGAAGGCGTTGTATACACGGAGCCTGACTGGGCCGGCCATGTGGGGTGCCTCAGCTACGTAGTGGAATCGATCGATGAGAGTCTCGGCCAGCTTGAGCGGGCTACTGAACAAACGGAATGTGAGGTAGAAAGTTGACACAAAGGTAGCGTCGGGAGTAGATTCGTGAGTTGTAAGACGCTCAACGAGGGCTGGGAGGGAACCGCCCGTGACTTGGCCCTCCTTGTTGAAAATCAGCTCATGAGCGTAAGTCTTCTCGAGCATTTTAGACTCGACATCGTCAACTTCTTCGTTGATGGCGTTTGCACTTCCAGCGTTGCTAAGCTCTGACATGGAAGGCTTAAGCTTTGGTGCCAAAGAGTGATCGGGCGTGGTCGCGCGTGTAGATGTTTGAGAGACCAAGCTAGCCTCGGAGTCTCGGCTGAGATAAGTGCTGCTGCTGCCCGCGCTCGAGGCAGCCATACTGTCAACACGGGAGGAATTGTTGTAGTCGCCATCCTGGTTTTCGATGGGGCTGTATTCATCTCCCGGGAGCAGGGATGTGGACAGTTTGGGGAGAGGTGGCAGAGTCGGCCGCATCGATGATACGGAAGACACCATGTTCGCAATGTGTTCATTGTTAAGTGAAGACGGTCGGGAATTAGGTGCAGAAGAGTTCTGAGAGGAAGGCCGACGTCGGTGACCGAGAGGTTCACTACCATCGACGGGTGGTAGTTGAGGCAGTGGCTTGTCGTTGGCGACGAGACTCGGTCGTTGCTGGTGGTGGGGCGTTGGCGGCACAACGGAGTGCATGGAGTCAGAACTTCTAGTCGACCCCGCGACACTGGTCGCCTCGGTGGTTGTTGTTTCTGCAACGGACGGTGCGATTGATGGCCTCCGGTATTGCGGCTCGAGGGCAACGTCGAGAACGCTGAGATCGATGCCCAGCTCGCCGGCCTCAAATTCGCATTCGAAGTCGCCAACACGCTCAATCGCCCACTTGGTCTTGGCTACACACTCACCAGCAGCCTTCACGCAGCCTGTTGCTGCCATCAACAACAAACTGTTGTCCTGTGGCATGATAACATCGGCATCCTGGAACACCGCGTGACGGATGATCTGACCTGCCGCTGTTACCAACTCCCGGATGCGCTCAAACATCATCTCCCTCGCTCTAACCAGCATATCAGAGCTGGTGCTCTGACCACACACGATGTCCACAACGGCCAACAACTCCCCACCAGACGTCGCCGAAAGTTTGATGGCGAAGGCCAACTCCGGCCGAGACTGGGACTGCAAGTGCAGACGGCCGATGAAGGAGCCCAGGTGGGACAAGAAAGTATCGTGGCTCTTGTTGAGGCGTTCCGAGACAAGGTGATGCGGTCTTGACAGGGGCGAAGGGCCAGCCAATGAGACGCGATGTGAGATGCTGGATGACAGCCGTTTGACATTTTGAGACATGCGGTGCGAGTTGGGACTAGCGGGGGACTGGAGGGTCGAAAGCCGCCTGCTATTCGGTGCGTTCGACGTTTGTGCCGCATCGCCTGTTTGTGAGTGCGTACCCCTGGTGGGTGTTCCGTTCGTCGGTCCTCGGGAAGCTGCATTATGAGTTGCATCGAACTTGATTTGATCTGCAGGTGGCGTCGGTGGGATGTAGGATTCTTCAATGACGGTAGCCATGACAGTCACTGCGGGGGCGCGTTGCCTACGATCATCCTCAAGGATGTCGAAAAATCTCACACCCTTGGTCACGATCTTGAATGCCTTCAGGATCATTTCGTCAATGATATCATTGACATCTTCTGTCGGCTGGGCGATGCCCTTTTGGGCCTCTTGCAAACGCTTTGCCGTCTTTACCAAGGCCGACAACTCGGAAAGTAAGGTCTTGCGAGCGCGCCGCAGACTTTCGTTGCGGGTGATGATGGCCGACTCCCTCGTCAAGCAGTGCGTGCGTTCCTTTTTGATAATGTGAGTAAAACATCGACAGGAGGGGACGTGGCACAGAGTCAGAAGCTTACCAACAGATAGCGCACTCCCGCGATGATACCCTTCATGAATTCTTGATTGCCGAAAATCTCGCTGTCGTTTACTGATGTGCTTCGCAAAAGGTCCCAGAAGTTGAGCAATGCTTTCAAAAGGTTTCTCATCTCTTCCGGGTCATATGCCTCGCAGTAGTTGGTTGGAAGCCATCCCCTTGCGCCTGATACCAGCAGGGTTCCATCTGCCCATCCATTGGTGTGAATTGAGTGCACCAAAATAACATCTCCCTCGTTCAATGGAAGAGTAACGCTCGAGTCGGTCATGGCATAGCTTGGATGGAAAGGATAAAAGGCTCGCAGGAAGTTGTGAAAGACCGGCGGTGGCAGCTGGTCGGCCGCCAGGTCTTCCTGCGAGCCATTGGGTGTTGCGGGCGGCGTCATGTGTGATGCTGTGTACGACTTGGAACTGTAGTGGTCTTGTTTCGAGGACAGAGCATCGCAGGATCTGGATTTGTGAAGCTTGAGAGGGGCCACTTGGAGGCTGGCACGCATGGAATGGTCGCTCAGCATTACCATGGCTGCTGCTGGTAGATCTCGTAGAAAAGCATGGGCAACAGTTGTGTAAACGATGTGCGCGCGGTTAATAGTCGTTGGGTTTCGAGGCCGCCTCCTCAGTCGGGTCCAGGTCCGATAATGCAGTCGTAAAGTCAGGTCCAACCTATCCCTCGAGTACGGTATCGTCCTGCTGCGCCTTTGCTGTGGCCTCGTGCGGGTATCGGATAGGTCAATGGGTGCCGGTGCTTCGTCCACGCAAAGGTCCAGTCGATTCGATCCAAGAGATATGCGCCTCTGGCGTTGTGTGTGTGTGTGTCCTTCCCTGAAGAGCAGTCGCGAGTCGCAAGTCCCTACTTCGAGTGGGTTGATGTTGTTATTGTTGTTGCGGTCAGGTGTCGAGATCGAGCTGTCAAGCTGATGTTGACAGTCAGTTGACGGCGGAAGAAGTGAACAGAGGAACAGCCCGCTTGGCCTGTGTGCAAGGTGGTTTTGATGGGAAGACGTAGAAGTTATGGAATGTAGGGAGGAGATGACGGGCATTGATGTGGGAGGGGAATAGGCATAGCAGGAATGTCATAGCCCTGGGACAGACGTGTTGGAGGGATCCTTGCCCAATGCTAATAGTGGATAGTTGCATACCAGGACCAGGGCTTGACTCAAGGTTTCGGGAGCCCAAGAAGAGGCCCTCCCATGTGAGTGCCCAAAGCGAGCGGACGATCACGTAGTAGGGAAGAGTGGAGGGTGGACTTCTGGAGGGGGGTGACCAGCCAGGCCAAGCGTCCGGGAACTTTGGAGGGTGTGTGGATGAAAGATGGAGGGATGGGCCTCTGTTGGATCATGGATGGATGGGCAAATGGGTGGATGAATGTACCGTGCCACACCACATTGTTCCCCTGCCCGGTACGGATAGCGTGGCGTACGTACCTTTTTGCCTTTGCTCGACGAACGGGGTTCTCTTGGTTTTATTTTTTTCTGATTTTTCTTTTGGCCAGTGTGTCGACGTTGAAGATCAGTTGGGGCCGCCCGCAAGACTAAGAGAGTAGTGCGCTGCTCGAGGACTGGCTGGGCTTGCGACGGAGGCAAGCTTGGTCTATCGTGCGTCAGTCTGGCGTCTTTTGTCTCCCGAGGGACGGCAACACGCGACCCTTGAGAGGAACAAAGAAAGAGCTCGAAAGCCCTAGCTACCCGTTTCGCGCGTTCGTGGTGCGGATGGGATGGATGAGCAACAGGCGAGGAAAGCAGTGAGTGGCATGAATTGGATCGGATACATAGGCAACGGCGTTATGGAGTACGAAAGAGGAGAGCTGCTCCGTTCATAGTGAAGAGGGACGGCATGAGCAGAGGCATGTCACCGCCGTATTGGCCTTCCCTTGGACCACCCGGTTCGCTCAGGTGTGTGGACGGAGCATGTATGCAGGAAGCTGGTGAAGTGCCAGCGCCAGGGGGAGGAGGACGGGGGAAAGAGAGAATGCGCAGAAGAATGAGAGAAGGCGCGAGGAATGCAATAGTTGTGATGTTCTGCTCGTACCTTATGCATGTGCATATGCAGTGAAGCTCGAGCGAATGTGACGCTGAGTCGTCCTTGGGGGTGTACCGTGTGACAAGCCGACAGGCAAGACAGACAAGATGCCGGCCGAGGCGCCGCGGACGCAGGATGCAAGACGCAGGTTCCGTCCCGTATCCCATCCACCCCTTGACCAAGGTACAGTAGCTCCTAGACTCGGCCCTCGCCCAGTTTTGCACCGTATGATCGGAGCCAAAGACACCCTAGGAGTCGGCAGTGCAGCAACGCGGCGAAGTGAGCTGTAGAGTGTAGACAATAGCTAGCTGGATCGGTCCAACGCTCCAAAAGGACAGGCAGAACGACATCGACAGGCTCTCTAATGGCAATCTGAAGGCACAAAACGAAGAGTAAGAGTGTTGAGACTACCTAGTGCAATGTTCTTTGGTGAAAACTGCGCAGGGCCGGCGAATGTTGCATCTTCAACGAGCTCTCTGCATCTTGGACAGCCCTCGGACGGTGCTGTGACCCGTGAGGTTTGGAGGGAGGCGCAAAAGTCGAGCGCACTGATGCCATGATATAATGAGGGGAAATGGCCAGCGGCCGACTGGAGGTGCCGTGCGCGCGGCTGTCTTTGATTGCCTGCCGCCGGCCATGGGTGAATAGCCAGACCATTGCAACAGATTTGACGCGACGAGAGCTAGAGGAGGTCAGATACTCGAGGCCACAACTTGGCAAGGCGGAGCGCGAGGGGAGGGAGGCGCCGTGGTGAAGTCTTGGGCTATGGCGATGCGCTCGGATTGCTGGTTAACAGCATCAGACGACAGGTGCCGCCGGGAGAAGGCAATCTCGACACGTTGTTCATCAAGCCGAGCCATGGAATTATTCGGAAGACATACCAGCCCATGAGCAGGTAAATGCCAGCAACGCTCTTGCATTGCTTCTCGAAAGGCCGCGGCAAATTGCTGTTGTCGACAAGTATCGCAAGTTCGCAACCACGAACCACGGCATCTCCTGCCGCATCTAGGGTCGCATTTGTTTCTCCTCCTTGGGCATAGACAGCAACTTCCTTCCAAAGCTCAGGTCTGTCTCTCTCCCTCTCTCTTGACTCTTGACTCTTTCTCACGGACTGCGCCACCAAAGTGCGAGGCGCAAAGGAGACTCGGCGGCGGGCAGCAGCGGACACCACCATGATTCCGAATGGGAGGAAACCACATCCATCCCCAAGTCTTTCCCCCTTATGACTTCGTCCTTCCGTTGTAATCCACGATTGCTTCCAAATTTGCGTCGACGCTCCAATCCGATGCTATCTTCCACCTCCCAACTCCACCTCTTTCCGTGTTGCGTTGCTTGCCCACATGTATTCCGGAGGCGGAGTAAGGTGAGCCCAGTACTTTGCTGGTTGCTTCGTCAGCTAGAAAGTGTGATTCGTACACTTGCTGCGTCAGTGGCCTGGGTTTGCGTGAGAGCAAACCCCTTGCTCGCAGTGGCCTGGTCCCAGCGGTCCCTCCCAACCTAACGGCTTGCCCCTTGCCCTTGTTCGACGTTTTCCCTCCTCATCTTCTTTTCTTTTTCTTCCCGCCCAGCTCCCTCCGTCCCCCTCCCCCGGTATTGAGACCCTCACACATACACACGACACGCCCTTGGGCGTGCTCTGTGGACCAACTGGCCTACGTAGTAATTGACAAAAACCAATTGCACCAACATGTGTGTACCTGGACCGGGTGGCCTGGGAGCTAGGTCCATCGACAGGGGGGGCTTCTTAGTGAACGACGGGGTCTCTCCCGGGCCTTAGTCTAGGGCTAGGGAGGAAGCCATTCCTGGCTTGAATCCATTTCCTTTCCCTCTTCCCTCATCTGAGAGGAAGTGTGACGCCGAGTTGTCGACGAAGAAGCGTGATGGTAAAATAAAAGTGAATGACCAGGGGCAAGCCGTCGACCGTCTGGAGAATTTTTTCACTGCTGTATCAGTGCTGAAGGCTGCCATTATTCCATCGTCCTGATTCCGATCATTTCGTCAGACTCACGGGCGCTTGTTTGGGACGCCAAAACCTGAACTGCAGCCCCGAACAGAGCTTGTGGCGTTGCCTCCTTCTCCTACTCGTTTCCCTTGCTGTTTGCTGCCTGCAGGGCAGGTTCCGCTTGCCAGGGAGAATACGACGAACGACACATCGACTCAGCTCAGGGCAAAGTTGGCAAGGAAGTTGACGTGTGTTGCGCAGCTTACGATGCAGACGAGACGAGTCAACCGACAGAGCTCCTCTCTGCCGGGGACAAGGACCGCAGTGCCCTCTTCTCTTCTCGAACATCTCGGTCTCGAGTCTCGTGAGTCGCGGTCTCGGCCCTTGTGCCCTGCACTTCGTCATCATGCCCTCCCCCAGCTTGCTGGGTCCAACGCTTCCAGTCTCCAGTCTGTTTGCGGGCTAGCTCAAGGCAGTGGATGCTCATGGTCTCGGGAGCAACATCGTTGGTGATAGTATGCCCTTGTGAAAAGCTTTCGACCACAAGTGCTGGGCTAATAATTTCTGCCATGTCTGGTTGACGGGTGATCTGATGAGCGGCTCCCACATGAGGCTCGATCGTGCTCGCTTGCATTGGACTCCCTTGTCATGCCTTTCCGTCTCGCCTCTTGCGTAGGGTCGTAGGCCCAGTAAACACTGCCAATAGCACCAGCCACTGTTTGTCCTATCTAGAGATGGGTCGCGTCACCGAGAGACGATTCGCCGGTCTACCGTATGCCCCCGAGTCGAGGCACATTTTGACTTGTGCCACACCACCGGTCTTGCGCTGGATCCCGGGCTTCGGCCGTCTGAAATCCGGCTTGTTGCCGAGCGTGGATGTCAACCTACCCATGGAACAGCCGCTATGAGTGTGGTTGATCAACGGTCGTTCAACGATTTTGTACAGACACCAGACATGTTCCGGCTATTTTGGACACTGCTCATCACCGGCCGGCGAGCAGACGAGAAGTACGGCAATCCATGTGATGTGCCCTGTAGGCCGCGACCTACCGGAACCTCGCATTCTCTTCTTTTTGTGAAGCCGGGGATTGTGCCATGATGCTCGTAAAGGGATGCGGAGCATTAAAAGAGTGTGGATGTGCTACAGCGTTCCCATCTATCCAGTCAATATTCGGGCCCGGGGGCCCTTTTTCGGCCGCGATGCTCCATTCAAATCGGGGAAAGCCCACTGAGTTAGAGGTTCTGTCTGTTCCGTCGCTCTTTGCAGCCAGCTGTCTTCAATGCTAATTATTAGTAATAACCGACTCGCCCAAAAGATAGCCAGCGGAGACACGACAGGTCGCGCCGGCATGCTATAGACGCCCGCTTGACATGGCAAGGTTGGTGGACTTTTGGTTGCTTGTCTTGCCCCAGCAACCGAACCGTAATAACTGGGCGCATATTTGTGCGAGTCAAATCATGCAAATATGTGAGGATTTCTTGTTGTTGGTGGCGCACGGCTACGGCCATATTTTGCTTTCTCCCGACTCTACATTGCTTCTCGTACATTGATTGATGTCTTCGTTGACACTTGGTCTTGGTCCCTCATCAGCCGTACCACAGGGCGAGCTTGCGTAAAGCTAAGAGCGCAGGGCAGCTCTAGCTGCGATTTGTGTCTCTCGGGGTATCATTGTCAGCTTGTTCTGGCGACCACTTCTTCGTTGCGCTGCCGGCTTCGAGACTGTATGCTTCCGTGGCTGTAAGCTTCCCTCGGCTGGTAAATCTTCTTCGCTGTCTAGAACTGGACAATGCCGGAATTGTGTGTACATTTTCCGTTGCGACCAAAGGATGCCAGTCTAAATTGCTTCCGCCCGAACGGCTATTGTTTGAAGCGCGTTCTCAACCGCAAAGAGAATTTGATGATCATGGATCAACAATCAAACGCAGATGCTGCTGAGTCGCTGGCGTGGGCTGCCCACAAGCCGCCAGCCATAGATGTGGCCTCATCTAAGACTGTTTCTCGGCTCTAGTGCAAGTGGCTCATTCCGGCTATGAGGCTGTCCTGTGCTCATCAGGACAGAGGAGCCAGAGACAGTCCTGGCCAGATGTCTTTGAGTATCATACCACCTGGACCATGCTGAGCCGCCGGGCAAATTTGGCTTGCGGAAGCCGGTGAAGCGAGTGCGTGCTCTTCGCTCAGGGAAGGACGTGAAATCATCGTAGAGGCCTTACAGGAAAATAAGCCTCTCCGCCGGTATCGGGTACCGATCAGGATCAAATGGCGGGGGGTTTCTGCAGAGGCATAGGTATGCGGCTGATAATGGTGGAAGTATGTACCCGGCAGCATGCACGGCGCAATGCGAGGTCGGTGATATGTGTGATGAGCGACATGAACAGAAGCGGGATATGCGTCTATCTGCAATTTTTGCCAGGGCATGGTGTTCCCGTGTTGTTTCTTTGGCGCCTTTGCAGAAGAAGGACTGGCTGGTAATGTTCGGCTGTGATGTTACATGCGCCAGGGTGCAAGTCTGGTTCAGGGCGACGCTTCACGGCCCAATCTTCCATTCGACGCCGGGCAATGGTACGGCAAATTTGTATGTCTGCCACAATGCCACTCTCGCGGTGGCAAAGATTGGCTTGACGGATTGCTTATTCAGGTGTTGATGTCGTATTCGAAGTGGTGGCCGAAGCCTTCTTTGCTTATTCTATGATATGTCACTTCATCCCGAGCCGCCCACCGTTGCGCGCCTCATCTCCGACATGCTGCACGATGCGGCGCGTGGTCGGGCATAAATCCTGCGGTCTTTCCAATAGCGGGAGGCAATCGTCAGGCGAGCATCGGATTCGATTCTCTCGAAGAGGTGGAAGAAAGCAAATGAAGAGTCAATGGCCGCAAATGGCTGTGGCTGTGGGATTTTTCGTGGTAATGAGTTTACGAGATGTGAGACTTTGAGGCGAAGGAGGAAGAATCAAAGGTTGACGATTTGGTGTTGTTGGTGGTTACGTGCCTCACGGACGTTCTTCTGGAAATCAAAAGAAAAAGCCTAAGGCAATTGCGCCCGGCATGGACGTGTTCCTGCCTTATTCCAAACCGGCAGGTAATTAGGTAGTGGATGATATTCGCACCTTCCTCGAAGCCCCTGCATGCCTGGTACTGTTTTTTTTTCGAAGTGCATACCTTCCGCTCTGCCCTGACGTGTGCTTACGTAGTACAGCCGCTGAAATGCAGTTGTTCAGCGGGAGTGCCGCTGTAGCAGGCGCTGGGCAAACTATTGATTATGTAATTCATGCTTTTCAAGTCTTCCACACCTTTGGCAAAATGCACCCGATTCTATCCTTCACGAACTTGAAGTCCAACCTCTGTACAACTCTGGCTGACCTACGACGAACGACTACATCCATATCTATATGGTGAACGCAGCAATATCTCGTATTATGCCCAGAGGTGGAATTATCGCCCTCAGGGGTTCTTCTTCGCCAAGATCGGATACCCCGTCGTCACTCGTTAGTCTTCACCGGCTTCTTGTAGGCTGCGGCTTAGCAACCCTCACTTCCAACCCCATCCCGCCCGTCACATATCCCCAATTCAATTTTCAAGCTGTGGAGTACAGCTTGTCACCAACAAGCTAATGCCGCGATTCTTCGCCCCGTATTTCACCCGACGTCACCGGGTGCCTGAACTGGCGGAGCGGCTACCATCCGAAGCCCTGGTCGTCTGAAGTTGCAACGGACAAGAGGCGAGACCCGGCTGCCGCACAAGGGGAAAGAGAATGAATCCAGGACCTCATACTCCAGAGCCCAGACAGGGTATCTCGTCAATCTTGCTGGCCGACCCGTTGGACAACGGTTTACGGAGTATCATCCAGTTGGTTCCAGCTTCCAGCCTTTGACCCCTTCTCCCCGTTGCCCATCACTGTCATCCGGATCCCTGTCCTTGGCCTCCTCTTGGCCCTGTAAGCTTGGGTCATTGCTTGACCATTTTCAGACACCAGACGCAAGCCAGGCACGCAGTAGGACACACTAGAAGTCGGGAGCTTCGAGCACCTTTCCCGGCCGAGTCCTTCACCAAGGCAAGCGAGGCTGCCAGCAACCTCCGGCATCGACTTCCTAGCGTGCTCATTGTAGTCCGGTGATACCGCTACTGCACCTTTTTCCGTATAGCACCTGCAGCTCCAAACCCTTTACAGATCACAACTTCGTACTTGTACAGCCTGGGCGGCGGCCGGATGTGCCAATGCTGCTCCTCAATTCAGTTCTCGTCACCTCGCTGCGGGTCTCGCTGCCGGGGTATACACCTTTTGGGAAGATAGCAAACTCGAACTGAACATGGCCCCTGTCTGCAAGCCTCGCTATAGGCACGTGCGGTCCACCCACCAAGACGGAAGGCATCGTGCAGAGATGCCGGTGCTAGGCCTTGATCCCGCCCCGGCTTGGAGCACTGCATCGAACTCTCGCGAACTCTCCCCCGTCGACGCTAGACGCTAGACAAGCTATTGCCAACCTTGGTGCCACCTCTTGCTTGATCGACTGATCCCGTATCAACAGGTCTTCTCAGTAGGCGAATGCAAGCATCTCAACGCCTCGGTCGATTTAGACGTATAGAGGGTTTATGACAGCATAGAGAAATAGGACCCAGGCTCTTCGCGGTAAGATAATCTTGACCACGAGGTGAAGAGCCCATGGACGGATGTCTTTGACCGGAATTCACCGGGCATCTTCAAGGGTCCCTCATTTCCAAAGGTGCAGCGGTGACCAGGGAGCTTCAACCATCTTGACCGGCGCGCCGGATCTTCCAACTGTAACCGGGTACGGTTACAAAGATATCATGCCCTCATTTGCTCATCCTTGACCGGCAGCAAATTTCTGCCCTTGGCCGACCTGAATGACCCGCAACTTGACCCGCCCACTTACAACCGAAGAAATCTCATCAGTGTTGGCCTGTTGAGTTGTAAACACCAGCTTTCTTGAAGAGCCACGTCAAATAACGGGTTTCCAGGCTCTTTGCAGAATTATCACTCAAGACTCTGTGGCTTAAAGCAAGAGTTTATCTTTGCACGTTGAGTAGGGTCTAATTATCTCTAGCTTCTCCATACATGAGAACGCGTGGCATGTCCATTCTTCCAAGAGCGTGAGGTGAGCATGAAGTGCTTGTGCTGATGGTATGGAAATGGGTACTTGAATGACATTGACTGAAGTAGTAGATTCATCACACTCCAACAAACGAGCTTCCTTTCTTTCATTTCTATCCAGACCGATAGTAATACCGACGACCCACGCCTTTTGACTGCTTCTCGTCAAACTACCCACCATGGTCAGGCTAACGCAAGGGGAGGAGGATTCCGACTCGCAGTCTGCAGCACCTATGCACATCCAGGGGTTCCCAGGCCTGGGCTTGGGCCAGATCAAACTCTCAGAGCCCAGGCCCCCTGGTCAGTGCAGCACTCAACCTGCTTGTTTTCGATTGGTTTACAGCTGTGCCGCTCTTTGAAGAGTTCTGATGAGAGGTTGTTGTCTCATTACGCATTCTAAAGGCAATCTGGGGAATGAAGGAGTCTCAATAAACGGTCACGACTCATTGCTTTGCATTTTCAAGCATGTATCCGCTCCATGGGGCGCTGGGGAGTCCGCTACGCAAGTTCGCTTCGTGAGGCATCGAGCAGGTTCGACTCATCGTTGGCCGCGAGCTTTCCAATTTTCGCCAGTGTCCGAAGGCTAGAGTGGTTGCATAAGGTCGATTGTTTGAGTTCGCCTTCAAGCAGTCTCATCACATGAGAATCTAGTTGGAAGTGATGCAGTGCGCTCGAGCTGCCACTCTCTAACGAGACTTCCTCTTGATGGACCCATATGGCTCAACAACCTCGCCTCGTGTTGATCAGCAAGTGTTCGGCGGCGTTTTAGGTCTAGCAAACATCACGTCAGACCATGTCGATCGGCCTCGGTCAACTCGGGCAACTTTGGTGGCCAGAGTGCGGTATGCAGATTACAAGTCCTTCGTCTATGAGTAGATCGGTAGCAAGCTCCGTTCCTGCAAGAAGCTCACCTACTCATCCCAGGAGCCCGGAGGAGGTTCCTGTAACGGCTAAGGTGTACTCAATTATCACTTGCATTTACGACGACAATCCAACAGGAAGCAAACATTTCGCCCAGAATGGAATATGCTCCACATCATGATCACCACCAACAAGCCCATAGTACTCCGTAGTACTGGGTGTAGCCAGCGAAATCCGAGCCTCTCCAGTAGCATCCGGGACCCTCGGCTTTCCTAACTACACCGGTTCCTGGCTCCTGGGTCCGATTTTGCCTCGCCATGGAGTTTGGACTGCTTAAATGCATGCTAAACATGCAGCAAGGCACGGCGATGGGCATCCCGGCTTCCGGCCATGATTGCAGATGTTACAGCACCGACTTGGGGTTTCTGGGGTGTCATGAGTTGTCTTGGCTCGTCTAGGGATTGCCGCTCGTTGCGTCGCTCCCAGCTCGTTCGTCATTTGTATGTCATCTGCAAAATTGTACCATACTGAGCCTCGCAACTTCGACCTAGTATGCGTAGACACCTCGCAAATGTGTTGCCGGTCCCTACTATAGGGATCCCTTTTCGGCTCAAGCCACTTCCAAACCTACCACCATGTGTCTTCCAGGCGTGATATCAACGTTTGGCTGACATGGCGGAGGTTAGCCATAGGCTTGTACACTGCAGAAACTGCTGCACCTCTGGCGCTCGGGCGGGCTTTCGACGTGCTTCCCCGGAGCGGCTGGACCCTGAGTAGCGGACGTGGCGGACAAACTGATCCTTCGATCTCCACCCCGACCAGCCCGCCCATCCAATCTTTCACAATCATCTCGACGCCGTCTCATCTTAGTCGCACATCGCGTCATGTTCCGCGAGTTGGCTGAACTCTGTTCTTCGGAAACCATTGCGTCGCGAATCCAGGGCGCTGGCCAGACTTTTTCAAGATGTCAGATTCAATGTTACTCGGCGCGGGCGCCTCTCTTGTGCACTCGTCATCACCAACATATTGCAAGCTGCACTCCATTCAACAATGAGGGTCATGTTCATGTGTACGATAATCATTCGAATCTCTTCACTGGCACGCTCTCAATTCCGAATCGTGTTCGCATCCTGCCCTTAGATTGGGTGGCTGGTGCAATATTAGTCTTGATTCGCACAACAGGAGTTCGAGAATGTGCTATGACGTTTTGTCGCAACATTCAACAAGATCGTATCCTGACCCCTCGAGGCAAGATCCTGGAAACAACCCCCCAAAAGTCGCTTGCTCGTTCTTTCGCCGTATACGTCTCTCGCATCATTCTGATATAGATTGAGCATCCTACTATAATCTCACGCCACCAAGCAGTCGGGGAGTCAAAGCTCAAAGAGCTAAAAGACTTTCGTGCTGATCAGCGGCTGACGAATGTTTGTCGACTTGAGATGGCAGAGCTATCAGGAGCTATGGCACCTGGGGATCTCGGTCTAATCAAGGTAGCATCGAATGCTATCGGGACTCTCGAATCTGCAGTAGCAGCATCTCGGCCTCCATATTAAGACTGCGAAGGTACCGCGGGGAAGGTATCTCCGGCCTTGCCACAAGATGTAAGCTGTGCTTCAAGCCAGCCGCCACGAGATGAGTCGAGGCCTAACTTTGTGGCGGTTGATCGAGGTTGACCACGACATTTGTAAAGGCCGGCGGCCGAGAATCACTTGCCACGCCCAACAACTCTCACATCAACCATTGCAGCTCACCAGCTGTGAAGCTTGGTGGCAGCTACCACACGGGCCCTCAAAGGGTACTCCGTACGTTGGCTTGAGTTGGGGATGACGCCGTTCGATTCAGCCTTTTGCCCCCATGGACGCCTCCAACAATAAGTACGGTCTTCAATCAGCCACTCTTAGTCAATCGAGTTCTTTCGTCAAAAGCCACTGCTCCCTCAAGCTTAGTTCAAACCCGTTCAAGCACCTGTTACAGGTTCATGCCAAGACGCGGCCGTCGCATGGAAATGAGACATCTTCTAAGCCGGCAAGCCGGAGCAACGGACGTGCGAGCCTCTATGGCGTGGTGGCCAGAGCGTGTTCGTCTGCTTAGCCCCGAAGGCCGACGCAGGTCCCTGAAGATCATCTTTTTCCGTCTCGATCCGGGGATGGGTGAGAAGAGTCACTTCGTCTGCCTATTGGCTGGTGAAAGGTCATATCGAATGGTCTATCCTCACCCGGCCGTTTTTCTTCGTGAGATTAACGAACTATTACCTTATCAAAAGAGAGATCGAGACGACCTGGGATCTTCCGCTAGTGTGCCTGCAGAGAGACCGGTAGATGATTATATCTGCCAAGTGCATGTCTCATAATTCATTGCCGCCATCATTCGAAGAAGTTAGCTAACTATTTCCGCCGCTCCAACGGTGAACGAGAAACCGCTCAACCGCTGGAGGAAACGCGACAAGGAATAAGTGATCGACAAAGAACAAAGATCCAATTTCAAAGTTCCTAAGTCAAGCCTGGCTAGGGCCAGCCGTTCATGCCGTTCTAGAAAAGGGGCGTATGAGCCTTTTCGTTGCCATAGGTTTTTCGGACGCTATGCCGCGTACAGTCGTCAGGCAGCAAGCTCCCGCCGATCGGGATAGCTTTTCGTCGTCGGAGCAGACCCTGATTCATGAATCGCGTGGTTGCTAGGGTCCATGGACTGATTGCCAGGCTTTCCTCGGCCGAAATCGCACCGCACTGAGCAGTTGGGGACCTTTTGCTAGAGATTGCCTCAAAAAAGTCCACCCCCGGTGCTGATCACGAGTATCCGTTGCAACGGAAATTCAGGAACCCGGGACGAATCGAGACAAGACAGAATAAGATCGACAAGAAGAAAGAATCATTATACACAAAATTCGATATATCAGAGACAACCCGGCGGGATTTAAAGTTTATTATGGTCGGTATCTGATTGCCGAGCTCCGCATTAAATAATTAAAGAATGCAAAAGGTCCATGATTTTACATTCTCTTACTGAGGCGCATAAACAAATGCCAACCTGTCAATCTCATCCCCGTCCCGTCCCAAGTATCCGACAATCTGCCATCCCGAAGGCGCCGTGTGCGTCGCGCAATCCGACGTCGTCGTACCAGCCGCGACCGTTCGGCCCGTGCTGGTAGTCGCCTGGATGTAAAAGTTGCGCGTCTCGTTGCTCTTCTTGCCCCAGCAGAGCTTAGCAGCGGTCCAGTACTCAGTCGCAGCAAGCGTCAGCGTCGCGGCCGTGCCACCGGTACCGCCGTGTGTGAAGACGGTGCCGTCGGCGAGCGTGACGGCGACGGAGTCGAGGCGGTCCGCGCCGCGGAAGGTCAGGACCGAGGCCTTGGGCTTGGACTTGCTGGCGAGCGCGGGCAGGTCGGAGAACCAGTCGCCGTGGGGACCGCCGGAGAAGTCGGATTGGCGTAGGGTGGAGGAGAGGGACCAGGTGAAGTTTGCGGTGATGGGGTTGTGGTCGGTGAGGATGCTGCCGTTGGACTGGAGGAACTTGCTGCTCTCGTAGTTGAAGTAGGTGGCCTCGAGGTTGACGACGGCGTTGCCACGGTAAAAGGCCTTGTCGACCGTCTCGCAGTAATTTGTGGTGCTGGGGTTGGCGCAGAGGGTCTCGACGGTGGGCACGACGCCGGCGCGCTCGAGCTGGAGCCAGACGTCGCGCATGCCGTTCTGCGAGGCGAAGACGCCGATCTGGTCCGACGTGCGGGTGTAGCGGGAGTTTGTGTCGCCGAAGACGAGGACGGCGTTGCCGACGGACCAGGTGTCGATGTAGTCGGCGACCTGGTGGAGGTTGCTGTTACGGGCCGTGAGGTCGCCCGCCTCGGTGCCGGCGTCGGTGTGGAGGTTGTAGACGTCCACGTAGACGCCCTCGGCGACGCGGAGGCGCATGAAGGTGAAGCCCTTGGGCGTCAGGCAGTCGGATCCGGAGGCATTGGAGCAGGTTGACCACTTCACGCGCTCGAATTCGATCCAGTCATAGTTGGCGAGGGTGTTGAGGCCGGAGCCGAGGGGCACGCCGCCGGAGGTTGCGGTGCGGTAAGGGTGCGTGTCCGTCTCATAGATGTAGGCGTGGTAGTTGAAGTCCTGTTTTCGGTATGTTAGTTATAGTACTGTTTTGCTATTTTCTGCCATTTCTTGGAGGTTCATGGCTAATGATAGCAGTAGAGTTCAAGCTTGAAACAGTGACAGATGGGAAATGCTGGGATCGCGAGTCGTGGATGTCCTTGCATTGACGCAGGGACGGAGCAACATGTGGCTCATGCGCTTTCCCCAGGACCCCAGCCCACGCGGTCAGTAGCAAGAAATAGCTTTTCAGCTGTCGGGAATAGATTGCTGCTCTTGTGCAAAGACTCACCTCTTGAACGTTGATGATGTCGTAGTTGTACTTGGCGAAGTACGATCCGATGGTTCGCGAGTTGGTCGTCTTGTCGCCGGGCACCTCGTTGTTCTGGAGGATCTCGGGCAGGCCAGCGACGTTCATGGCGAGGATGGTGAGGTCGCCGCTCGTCTGGGCCAGAGCGCCGGAGGAAAGGGCGCCTCCGGCGAGGAGCATCTTGAGGCTGGTGGGCTTCATGATAGCGACTGGATCTTCTGCTCGTTTCGCAACGTGGGATGTTTGATCGGACGGAGGGAAGGGAAGAAAGATCGACGGGCGAGCGAGAGGGACAGAGCGGCGCTGGCTGGAGACGAAATCCCAACTACATGCGAGAGAAACGGCGAGCAGTGGTGATATTTAAAGGAACCTTTTTCCCATCAACTCAAACGTAATTAACTATGAACTCCCCTCTTGGCAACATGAGGCGAACCAGACATAAACACCCTGGTTAACCTTCACACGATGTGGCATGTGCTAAAGAACCAGGGCTACAAGCAAGATTACAACAGCTTTACAGTTGAATTTGGGGAAGGTGACAAGCAATAGGCACAACGTGATCTACATTTGACTCGTGATGGGTGGAACATCTTTACGGTGGTTGATGCTCATCTCCCTCGAACCCCTCACTGCCGCGGCACTGGTGCCCAAATCGGTCGTTCTACCCCGTCCTTATCGACGTATCGACATGACGATGTAACCTCTCCCACCGGTCAATGCTGCACATGTCCGGGCCGTTAGATGCGGAGCGGTCCTAAAGGTCGGACAAAGGGGGAGCAGCACCGGACGAAAAGATGGAATACGGTATCCGTATAATATCGACACGAAATATATACACACGTGCGGTGAAGTAGCATCGCTACACTCAATAATGATACTCCATTGGCATGACACGTTTTTATCAATTTATTGAAATTAGGCATGGCAGACATGCTGACCGTGCATATCATAGAGAGAGGGGGGAGTTATACTCTGAGGTAAACATATTGTCCACAAGTATAATTAGACGGTCAGCTGTTTAGATGACACTGATTACCTTGATGGAGCTACAAAACGCACTTGGATAGAATTAGATACCGACTGCTGTGCAGGGGCTGGCTTCTTCAAGGTTCACATAGTGGTTTTCCTCAATCCTGTGCTGCCCGGCAGGCTCAAAAGTTGCACGTGGATCCACGTGGAGGGTCTTGGCTATGAGATTCGTCGACGAGGGGTTCTCCTTGTCGAGACTATTCCTTCAAACGACCTGGCCCCCCACGAGGGGCAGATATTCTCGCGACGTTTTATCGTCCCTCGGCGAACCAGCCTGAATCCTGGGGTTCCTCAACAACACGTTTCTTTTTCTCTTCGGTCAATAACTTCCGTCGGCCGAGTCTGCCGAGAAGGAGTCGCGAGTATCCGCAAACTGTAGGAAAACAAGGGCAACTCGGCTCAAGCGTTCGGTGCCGAGTTAGGAATGGGTCGAACACGTTCAGTTGATCTCATTTTTTGAGATGGAATGACGTGTCTATGCGGAGGCGCAGATTGCACCATCCGAGTTTTACCGGGCGAACCATCATCATGCCGTTCCTGCGGCGATGCAGCAGAAGAAGACGAAGTCATCTCGCTCTCGGTAGGCATCCGTTGGCAAGATTCGGAACGACCTTGCGACGGCTCGGCTTGCGAAAGAGAAAATGCGACTTGGCGGAGGTGCGGTGGTGGGAACCGGCCACTCGGTGCCTTTGGGTCATTTCTGGGTCAGACGAAGCAGAGGATGGCCCGTCCGTCGTCGGTCCTCCCCGCCGGCGACTTTGTTTCGGCGCTGCCATGGTATGGCCGGGTTTCGCAACGGCCGTTGGGCCCCCAACCCTCGAACCCGGTGTCGTTTTGCGAGGCAGCGCGCCGAGGTCCGAAGGAGAAGAAGACGTGCGGAGCCTTGAACTTTTTGCCCTTCGCAACCGGTAAGTTCCATGGACCCGAGCAGCTGGGTCGGCGCTGAGTTTCACTCTCACTCTCTACTTGGGTCCAGCTAGGCTGATGCGGTACCAAACTATGACTCTAAACCAATTTGTGGCTTTTCCACGTACCCATAGATCTGGGCCCGTTTGCTGCTGTGGCCGGCATCGTGGTAATGAAAGCCGCCGTTATCGAATGTTGCATAACCCCGAGCTTTCCAATTTTAGAATAGAATGCAGTTTAGAGTATTGTCCCATGGTGGTTGGGAACGTTGGAATTCCAGTTTGAGAGCGTGGTAAAAAAGCCACAGTGGGGAGATGAACCCATCGTTGCCATGCTAACTTTGGTCGCCAAAACCGAGAGCCTCGAGAGAGGCGTGAGAAAGAGCGCCCCGAGAAAAGCATGACGCCCTTTGTTCCTGGATGGGTGTTTGGGGCTAAGAAAGTTTGGTGCCACACGGCGTGGCGCCACGGATGGGTTCCTGACATGATTTCTTGGCTGCTAGCTAGCCTCATTTCCATGGTTCATGACGAGTGAGCGTAATCGCGAGCGCGACCGCGTTGACGAGACTACGGCTGGTTGTCCACTAGTTGTTTTGACAGACTTTGGTAGAAGTGGTTTCGTCACGATACAAGACCATCATCATGACTCAACGGAGCTGATTTTCAATGGTCAACATCCTCTATATGCAACCGTTCAGACGTCACTCTATTCACGTAGCATCGCCTCCATGAGCAGAGGGGGGCAAACTTCTCCCTGTGAAGCCTGCAAGGAAAACCACTATTTCCAAGGCAGGAGACAGATAAGACAGCTGAATCTGAGCCTTGGTGCGGATAAGGGAGGGTGAGAGAGGGCAGGACTCTGACTCGGTGCTTGTTTGGGAATGTCTGCGCACGGCCCTAGCGGTGATCAGGGACCGCCAGGCGAGCTTTGGTCGGGAGGACTGAGCTCCGGGTCTCAGGATGGTCTTGAGCAACTCTTCATGCGGAGGGGTGATGTGATGCGATGGGGGGCAGTGGCAGGCAAGTTGGGAACAGACAAGACGCGGGTTCCGTGGGCCTTCCTGGCAATGGGGGTTTCCTGCATGGTGAGATTTCGCATATTGGCCACAGTATGTGATTATGCTTTGCGATGGGTGCGGTTGTGGATGCGGAAACGGGAGGTCATAGTGACTGGTGTTATTGACACTTTTCGGGGTCGACGTGAGACTATCTTAGCCCTACAAGGCACCACAAGCCGACGGTCTCGTTCGATAGACGGATGGATCAGGTGGTATGTCCGGCAATCCTTTTGGAGGGCTCTCATGGATGGGCCGAATTTGAAATCTTTCTCTCGATTCCGGGGGCATTGATCTGAATGAGCATCACGGCCGTTGATCTTGGTGATCGATCATCACTAGGTCATTCACGATCGCTTGGGGTAAGTCCAAAGGCCTGTTTCGAGGTCCAGCAAGTTGCGGCAGAGGAATGAGATTTGAGGCCTTTCAGCTGGCATCGTGATGGTATTTGCCGAGAATTCCCAGTGCCGTCCGTTTACCAAACCAGTCGTAAGCCAGATTGGCGAGTCTCATGCATGCCTCTGCGATCATATGATGATATTTGCATGCAATATTCCTGACCAAACGGAGAGGGTCCAGACCGTAACATTTAGTTACCATCCGGCCATTTCTTCGGTGGGGCCCCGTCTTTGACAGCGGCATGCCAGCAAGGGAATCTTGCCCTTCTGTCGATGGACTACAAAGTCTCTCCTCGAATCGCCTGGAGTGGTACAGTGTCAAACGGTACCGTTCGAGGGTGTGGGGTCTGAGTTGGTGAAACGGGCCGGACGCTATTCGTACACTACACTCCATCTTCATCACCTTTTCAGGTGATATTAAGCATGATACGGTTACGGTCGGTCAGTTTGTTTTAGACGGGTTCTTTTTCACCCCTGTTCTGGACCCCGATGAGCGCTGAAATGGAGGGGGGATAGAGGTAGGCCTGTCCATGTTGAGGTTGCTTGCGTGATATGCGTGAAATCAGCGAAAACTTCGGCACACTCGGACGGGTCATGATAACGGGTTCCTTGGAAAGCTTGGGTTGGCGATCTCTACTGTGTAGTCTGCGCTCATTCTTACCCCTCTGCCCTGCCATGAAGGCGGGCCAGAAGATCTGTCCGGTTACCGGTTGTCAATAAGCCCTGAAAGCTTTGATGTGGAGCCTTGCGCCCGTTTTAACGTATCCTTATAGAATTCGTCATCGCGATGCTTGGCGATTGTGGAATTGGAGCCGGGTCCAAGAGCAAGGGAATCGAGAATCCGGAATGAAGGACTATGAAAAAGCTGGGAACATGGGAACAGGTAGGGTGTTGCGTGGGCGTGATAGAGTTGCATATGCAGTGGTAGGGAGAGCGATGCAGATATCGAGGTGCTTGTGGGCAGGGGGTATCGCTGACAATTGTCTCGGGGCTCTCCCTGTAGGCAGCGATGAGGACAAGCTGTTGAGATCGCTCGACGAGATCAAAGCTCCTTCACACCAACGCCGGCTGGAGAAACTTGCGAGGACAGGACCATCCCCGCTGAATCCACGTTTTCTTCTTCTTTTTGTCCGATGCGTGGGCTTCTGGGAAGACGTTCATGCGAAACTGGGCACATCACATCTCAGGCTGGGATGACCACAGTGCGTTTCTGCTATCTTGCCTCTAGTCCAGAGCGAAGTAGAACAGGATGCGTGGTTACACTCCGGAACACGCCGGTAGTAAACGGCGATTGCTGCGGTACCTATTGTTTCGCGAGCGTCTAGAAAACGTGGAGAAAAGGAAAGTGATGGATCCAAAAGGTGAGCTAAATTACATGATATCAACCGGACCAAGAAGAGACAATGGGTCTGTGTGCATCTGAACTCTCGGGAAAAGTCAAGCAAAAAGTTGAGTTGACTTTTTGAATTTCCCCTCTTCGAGAACGTTGCTGATTTGAGATGCCACAAAGCGGACGCTCCGAAAGTCAGCCTTCCGCCCACCGGAGGCTCTTGGTTGTACTCGGAATGGACTCGGTGTGCCGGAACGGATGTGGCGCTGGGGTCCGGAGCAGGCTCCGGCTTCTCCCACTCGCCGGCTGCACCGCCGCCCATCTTCCCGATCGTCCAAGACAAAAATGACAACGCCACAACCCAGTCGATATACGTAATCGAGATGAAATACAAACAAACGCATTGGAAATGTGACGTGAAGGTCATGTTCATGTTCATCATATCTGATGGAGCGTCATTTCTTCTTCCTTGCGTTTGGGCCTCCCCTGGTTGCCAGCGTCCGATATCACATTCATCCCACCAGACGCGTTTCACGAACCCACGCAGCACACAGTAGACATCTTTGCTCTTCTCCTCCGCCTCTGACAGACTTGCTCCATCTGCACCGTGTCCGTGCGCTCAAGGATCACAAGTTCAACTTGACTTGTAGCATTTCCCGACGACGAAGACGACCCTCGGCTTGCACCCTGCTTGCCCCTCTCTTCTGACCTACCCGGACTCAAGATATGAATGCGGACTGAGGATCACAGCGTCATTCCATCACATCGCAGACGGGCCTTTCAATAATCGTTAGTCTCATATTGACCAGGTGTCAAACCGTAAGCGAAGGGCACCTTGGAGTAAGAAAAGCAACGAGCTTCCCCTCTTTCCCGCCTAGTTCCCTTGCGTTCGCTTGACCATGCGGGGCGGCGGCCAGCACCTGGCATCATCACAAGCAGCTGAAGTGGACGCGCGGGGGTTCCATTTCTGCAAACCCATCCAAGCTCCAGCTGTCAATGCGGCCGATGAGGGCGCGGCGCGCGGTTTTGGTCCATCAAGAAGCAGAAGCGGTGGAGGGATGGATAGCCTGCCGTTTTTCTTGCATCCTTCCCGCACTGACCCTCACTCCAAAATAGGCCAGGACTCAGAATAACACCCTTGTCCCTGATGGAGCCCTGTCTAGGCCCTGGTCAATAATCTCGTCGTATTAAGAGCTGGCATCGTGGCTGTCAGGGTTCGTGATGCGTACCTTCAGACAGCGGCTGGGGGTGTAAATAGATGGAACTTCAAGGAACCTGGGAGGTGGATGAGCAAGAGATAGTCTGGAACGAGGGAATTCGATTAAAAGAAGGTGAGAAACGTGCTTCGGCGTCGAGACCGGATTGACGCGGTTAGAGAGTATTGATTGCTGCAGGCCAGGACACACGAACCCCCCACTGTGACGCCCACCGGGCCACCGTTGAAAATTGAGATCATCCAGGAACATTCCCTCAAACTCTTGATTACATGGGTGGAATTTTGCTTGTATTGACCGATACGTCCTAGTCGGCATATCAGGGTCTCATCAGCTACCGCTGCACACGATCACGAATTGCCGTAACATCATCACTCGTGATTGTGCGATGCTGGACTGCTCTAGAATGAAGTAATAATTGCTCTCATGCCATAGTGAGTGCTGTTGACATCCTGCATATGGACTTAATCTCTGCCCTTGAGTAGACGTACAGGTATGCGATGCAACGTTCGGCGAAGCGATCGGGACGTGGGCGACAATGGTATTGCTGCATAATGGCTTAGGAAGACTTATCACTGTAACAGAGGCAAGATAGTATTGCTGTAGCTTTACTTTTCGGCATCGCCCGGTCTAAGAGCCAAGCCTCTACATAAACCTAAAGGCGAATTTTCTCGCTATTTGCCGAACATCAGACGGAGCAAGAAAAAGGCCTGGCCTTTCTGACCGTCGCTTGTCTGCCGATGACACATTGGTAGGGAGACCACATGGCAACTTGATCATCCGAAGACGAAGGAGGCTCCTCTCCGTTGAGGAGAGAAATCTCCACCCCGCGCCGGGCTGCTGAAGCGAGGGGACTGCTCAGCAGGCTCGCGTTTCAGACCGCGCCGCTGACAATCAGTTCGGCGACTTGTCCACTCTTGGACTTCTCAAAAGGGTTTCTGTTTATGCGACTACAGAGTTTGTGAGACGGTGAATATGTTCAAGTGATTGTCCGTTGCCGTGTGCGACAGAAGCAAACTGATGGGCGTTTGGAACAGGTTGACGTTTTGTTACGGTCGTCATACGCGTTTGGGAGGGTATATCACCGGTCTTCTAAACCTTATAAACGTATGATGAATCTCTTGAAATAGTATCGGTGATTGGGATCATGCATGACACCATGATGTAATAGCGACTTACAGACATTATTAACAGTGGAAAGTCCTCGGTACAGTGAGGACCCATTAGTTTCAATACACCTCCCAGTGCGTCAGCGTAAACCCACTAACTTCATTATACCAATATAAGTAATATCTCTGCTATTTAGGTGATAATTATAACTAAGAAAATTCTTAA